CCCACCCTCTGAACCGGACCATCCACCCGCACCCCCCGATGGTCTGGGGAACCCCCAGGTCCATCCAGCCAACTCCTGGCTCCTGCCCGGCCCGACTCAGCACGGCCCAGTCCCACGGCCTGGCCCCACATGGCCACCGGCCATTCCCCAACCACTCCACCACTCCAATGTTGAAGCACAGCTCCTGATGGCTTCTCCACGAAGGTTGGCTGCACAGATCGGTGCGGCAGCATCTCCCATGCATGCAGTGTTGTGACGAGCCGTGGGAGCAGGAGCGAGTCCCCCACCACCCAGCTGCAGGACCACGCCGAGCGTGTGGCCACCCACCCGCCCGCCATCTTGGCCGCCTCTCAGGGGTGACATTTTTGAGGTTAATAGCTTTTAGCAGATTCCTTCTTATGTGAATTTGCCTAATCTTATTGGTATACTTATGCTGACTTCTGACTTCCAAAGCAACATGAGGCAGGGAGTTTCACAGTGATAAAGGGGCATATAAATATGTCTCTCCTGTTGGTGATTCTGTTTTTTGATAACCTAACTTGATGCCACAGATTTTTTTCATTAAAACAAATACCAGAGCCTGTTTTCATTTTTATGTGTGCCACTCATTGTGTGAATCTCCAGCATATTTCCACTCAGTTCTTTTACAGGCTAAAAAAAATTCCCGGTCTATGCAGTTGTTTCATGTGTGGAATCTGTTTGTGCTTTGAACCCTTTTTACTGCCTTTTACTGTAGCTTTTTTTAGTTGTATAATCTTTAGATGAGAACCAGAACTACATTCATAAAGTGGTTGTGCCATGGATTTTTTACAGTGATGTAATTAGTCTTTCCTTTTCTATAACTTTCCTAATATTTCTCAACTTAGGACTGGTTCCTTCCTCCCCATAACAATAACTGTCTCCATTCCCACATTGTTTAAACATTATTAACCTGATTTTAAATTTTGTTGATGCAGGAATATACCGGTGACATGATAAACTTTGAGGTAATGGCATCAGTTACTGTAAAATTTTGCAGATGTAACCAAGTAATATTCGAGGCCATAACCTTGGTGAGCATCAGAAAGAATTTAAAACCTGTTTACAAGTTCTGCGTTCCAACATTTCTCTTGTCCACAAGCTGGGTAGCAACTCAGGTTGGTTTTAGAATCCAAATGTAGCTAGACCTGCACTGTACTTGCACATCAGCAGACAAGATTTCTATGTCTACTTTTCTTTAATTGCAGGTATTTATGAGCCGCCATTTCTTGTATTATTGTGGTGAACCTACTCTGGATGTGAAGATTGCCTTTTGTCAGGTGTGTGTTCCTTACAGGTAAAACAAGGTACAGTATATACTTGTACTTCATTTTTGCCATTCATACTATAATAAAATTAAAAATAGAAATTAATTTCAGCGACTTTCTGCGAGTAACTGGTTATAAAAAAGGGAATAAATACAAAAAATACAAAAATGCATCACGAAAATTACTTTTCTATTTACTTGATTAATGTTAATGTAATTTTTTTAGTGAAAAATAACGGCGCAGTTTGCAAACAAAAAATGCAAATCAAAACTATTTTATCTTAGCCTCTGGTTTTTTTTTTAGACAGAGGCTTTTACATTGTAATCTGTGACTGTAATTTACTGTCCCTTAGTTTACATTTACTGGAAGGGGAGGGAGGTTAATTAAAATTGTGGTGTTTGTCTTGTCTCCCATTGAACTCTATGTGCTGTGCAGGTTCCAGAGTGGTGAGACTTCACAATAGCCAATTCTGTATTTCTACATTACCCTTGAAATTGCTTGGTCACAATGCATGGTAGTCTACAAGGCTGAGACTAAACTGGTAATGCAAAGAGAAAAGCTTATTGATTTGTTCAGTTTTTTAATCTCTTTGTTAAGTTAGTGAGCATATATGTACGTTTATGCGTATTCTTTTGCTCGTGAATGAAAGATGACCTTTTTTGCTCACTTCTATACAGTCCTTTGTGCTGAATTCTGTCTCTTCATAGTTTAGTTAGTTTGTTTGTTGGTTTGGTTTGGTTTCTTTTTGGCGGGGGGAGGGGTTTGGGTTTTTTTTTGTGAGATGGAACACTGATGGAACATCAGTAATCTAACAAACTGGGGGGACATTAGGAACATTCTTCACTTTTTGAGGGCGAGAATGTAGCTGCATTCTTAGAAATTACTTTATGATGAACACTATTTTTTCAATTTTATATTACATTTGGGGTTCAAGTAAGTTCAGGTAAGTTTAATAAGAAACGTCTATTATGTGTATGTAAGCATTTAACACAAAATGGTGACAGGTGTTGGAAGGCTTGCTTTGTGTTTTTTAACTCTGAAGTGCTAAATACTTGTTCTTCTGAGAAGGTTGGCTCTGGGCTAAGTTACCATTAGCTCTGGGATGAATCTTGGCTACTTAGTTTGATAATCTGTATAACTGTCTTCTCTTTATTATCTTCTTTACTTTGTTCTGTATGTTCAACTGGCTTAATTCTTCCACAGTTTTTGAGAGAAGGGATTTTGCTAAACATAGTGGTTTTGTAATGTTTTGACAGTTTGGTTCCAAAAAAAAAAAAAAGTGCAAAACCTGTAAATCAGGTTTTCTTCTCATATTATATGAGAAAGATGTTATTGATGAAAAAGTTACTTTCACTATGCAGATAAGAGTTTTTTGCACAGCTCTGCTGCTGACTTTCCTCTCCATTTTAATTGAACCAAAACAAAGCTGTACAGAAACATTTCTATGTTTCTATGTTCATGCAGTGAGGCAATGTACTCTAAATCACTTCCTTTTACATACAGTTCTCATTCAGTCTTGGCATCAGTCAATCTGTGCCTATGTGTAGCCAATCCTTTCTGCCATTGCACTCCAGGTTCTTGAGGTACTGAAGACATTCCTTTTCTGTTACTATAACTTGATAAAAGGTGTTCAGAGGCACATAGAGAACCACATCTATTCAATGTTTTTGTTAAAATATATATGATGAAATCAAACAGCATTTTGGATACATTTTTATCACTGAATGAAATTGATTCATTTTTAATGGTTGCAGCAGGTGCCCAGAGAGGAGTCATCCAATAAACACACACAAAGAGATACTATCCTGATATTGTAGGAAACAGGATTCTATTCTTCAAGCACTTATCACACAAATAGCTTTTCAAGGTCTTCAGATCTTCACATTGATTCGCTTGCAGACAAAAGCTGGTTTAAGCTTCATGTTAATTTATTCTCTCCATAAAGATAGGATCCAAATAGAAGTTAGCATTATATACAAAAACAGTCTCTAAATTAAGTGTTTTGTTGCATTAAGACTTTAGCTGTCATGGGTGCTGTTCATTTGTATTGCATAGGGTGGGATCGGGGTTATTTCCCTGCCCTGGTAATACTTCATCCAAATATCCAGATCTTTACTTAGAGACTATGGATAGTCTCCAGGTAGTAATATTGTTTATTCCATTCTTTTTAATGCTAATATGGAAATCAAATGCCCTGTGGTTTACTAATAATGCTTCTGCTTTGAGTATAAAGCTCATTTGTACCTTTATGAAACTTCCATCTGCTAAATCAGTAAATTGATAGGATTCTGTTAACAAAAGATGATGGTGTCACAGCAGAATGATGGTAATCAGCAACAGGTAGATATTGCCACTCATACCTTGAGGTGTCTTAAACTGACAACTATCCCAACAGTATCTAGACAGGAGAGCACAATACTGTAGCTTTGAGTGAACATATGGCTTGTGTTGATTACATACAAGTCCTGCTTCCATTTCAAATTTGCTCGTTGCTGCAGACTTTCTACAAACCTTACGACTTGTGCTGAAGTGTAGTAGTGAAGTACAGTATTGAGGAGAACTCCAATTATTTTTAGTACTGGGAATGTATTTTTCTTGTAACATATATTTGTGGCAGTTTCTCTCTCATGGCCTAAAAGGCATAGCTTTATGGGCTGTGAAGGAAAGTGGCATATGCATAATTATAGGTTCCTTCTCTTGACATGCCACTGAGCATACTAGTTTTGTATGATAAAATGCTAATTCAGCAGGAACAGAATTTTAAGAATTTTCAACTTAAGGAAAAGGGAAAACCCTTACTGAGAAATACCCAATACCGTAAATAGAGTAAATATATACTTCCTCACCCCTTCACCTCGTTTCCCATATAAAAATACCGAAATAGAATTACTGGACAATGCAAGCCATTTCATATTTGGAAACAACCATCTTTTTTAAGGCTGAGGAAAAGGATATCTGCTTTCCTATCATAACAGAAAGGTAGAGCAAGAAGGCCTATAGAATTTCATTATACTTCTGTAAGGCCGATATCAGCAACAAGTTTTATCCGTAGGACCCTACACACTGTTATTGAAGCACAATGGAATACAGAGTAGTATACTGTAAGTAGAATAGGGCATTTAATTTTAATACTAATTTTAATAATAGCTAACTATGCCTAAAGGATACTGACTGCTTTGTTCTTATTTTCTTCCATTTAGTCTTTCAGTATCTTTTTTTAATCAATATCAAGACAAGTATAGCCTGTCAGAATTTTCAAGTTTCCTAAATTTGTAGCTTTATTTTATTTGTAATACAATTCTGTGGTTTGGTTCTTTTTTTAACTTGGACCAGTAGTACTGAATTTTCTTTTCTTTAAAAAACATGTCTTTATTATTACAGTTTGTATATCAGAGAATTTCCATATTGCTACAGTTAGTCTTTTAATTTAAACATTTAATTTAAAAATCTAATTTAAAAATTAATCTTTTTTTTAATGCAAAAGTGGGATGTGGAATTACTGGGATTAGCTATTGAGGAACTCAACCATACACATTAAGAAGAAAATTAAAGTGAATCGTAAGTGTAAATTCACATGCTATTTCTTTGGTTACACATCATCACTAGTCTTTATCACTCAATTTAAACAAATGATGTGATAAAATAGAGTGAGCAAAGCAAATGTATAAAGATCAGTGACTAATCAGTTGAGCTTGAGTTGTTTGCAGGGCTCACCTGGCTACTTGAAGGCAAGCTTCATAAAGGAATGTAGATTGTGTCTGGGGTCTAGGGCATGGCTGCTGGAGAGAGATTAAAAGAAGGCAGAGAATCAATGTTTAAATCCCGCTCAAAGCACACTAAAATGAGGAAGACTACTGATTAATGCAATCCTTACAGGATGAGAATGGGGGGAAAGAATGGAGAACTGTAGTGTGATATGGCTGGTAAGATCAAAACCTGTAATATTACATCCAAACACATAGAGAGGATGAAAAACTACTTTCTGTAGGAGATTTGATCTCTATCTGTGGACTTTTGAGTAGAATAAGTGAGAAGTCTGTCTTTATGGTGAGATAGATAGATATAATTTCTGCCATAAATGTGACATATCCAGAATACATGATTAAAAATACTTTAGCAGGTCTTTCTGTGCAAAGATACTTGGTATTTCCCAAGTGGTATTTTCTGTGGCCATCCAAATTGACACAGCATAACCTTTGAACATTAAATCCAAAGCAGAGGGCTCAGTAAATGCATGTTTATCCCAGAATTCTGGCACTTGAATCTTGTGAGAAAATTGCAGCTGTGCAAGTGGGAGGATAGCGATTAAATTAAAAGCATTGTTGCCTTAGCCAATACACACAGGTGAGCAGGTCTTGCCTCTGTGTAAGTTTTTGAAGCTGGCAAGAATACTGAGGGTTTTATCATCCTTGTGAATTTTAATTTGTATAATCTGAGCATCCGACTTTTAAGGTCAAATTGTAGCTTTAAGATGTTATTGTTTTGGATCCTGAGGAAATCAGAGGCAGCATCCACCTCTGAAATGTGCTCTTGCCTATACTATACCGATCTCTTTGCCTGAGATGAGGTGGAGATGTGAGGGCCACTGGTGAGCTGTCGGGATTACTGGCTCAGAACATCCTCTCTATCACATCCTGCTGGTCTTTGGACACTGTGCCAACTGCAAATTAGGAGGCAGCCTTCCATCTAATTCTTTTCCTCACCTGCAATTACAGATGTGGAGTCATTTAGCTGGTTTCAGTAGCCTTGCATCCTAGCACCCTAGAAAGGGTGTCCCTGTAGGTACTCCTGGGGGCAGACAGGGAAGGATGACAACATGGAGGTCAAGTTTCCCCTCCACTGATGCCTATTAACAGGTTCTGTGACAGCACTCATTGTCTTGGAGATGCAAAGGAGAGAAATTTGTCCTAAACCGCCATTAGTGTGATTTGTATCTCTAAAAGAGAAAATGGATGAGATACTGAACTCTAAGAAATTGTGATAGTTTAGGCTCATCAATAATTGAAAGAATGGTGTTCAGAAAGGTCTGTCTATGAAATATAATAAATATGTTTATTTTGTAGGATAGAAATGGACAAATAAAATAGGATATCAGGAAGCAATTCACATCGTAATATAGAAGATAACATCCTTTTCTTTCTGTTGTGCTTTTTAGCTTTTTTGCTGCCTGTGCTCTGAAAGAAAAAATTGAAATAATACAATTTCTAACTGTGTGAGGCAGTAACTTGTTTAAGTTTACTGAATTTTTAAATAATTGTTCTTTGAAAGAAAAATATTTATGCTCACTAAGCATTTAATAATTGTGAGAGTATCTTTCTCCCTTCACCTCGAATGTTTGAGTCCCGACAGTTTATTTTCTTTCCTTCTCAATTGGCTGAATATTAAGCAAACATCATTGCTGATGTGTTTAAATGAGCCAACAAGGATAGTTGTTTTCAGGGCTGAAAAACTTTCACTTCACTTTCCCTTAACTTTCTCAGGATGGAGGAAAGAGAATGACATTGGGAAGTGGGTGTAGGAGTGTGTGTTAGAAGTTTTCAGTTTTGTCTAAAAAACAAAAATAATGGTGCTTACATTTTTGTACATGTGAAATGAAAGTTAAGTTCCTATCAGCGTTGAAGCAATGTAATTCCATTGTCTAAATAGTTATGGAAACCAAGAACAAATGGCACCCCAATGCTTACTTTGCCTCTGAAACAATCTTTCACATTTTGCAAAGGACTGCAAAACTATGATGTGTTTTGTTCAAAGTGAAAAGAATGGAGAAATTTGCTTTTGTTTCACATCTGCAATGTTTGCTATTACTTTGGGGCCCCAATATTGTACCTTACACAAGTTGATTTGAAGTTCACCTGAAAATTTGACTCGATGGAATTTGCTTTGCTGTATGAAACCTATACATCTTTTCTGTGATATCCTGAGAAGTGAACCTGATTGTTATGTGTTACTATAAACTTCCTTCCCCCATCTAATTCTGAATGAAGTGCTAGTTCCTAGTTTCTTAAGTTGTCAGTATCATTCTCATTTGAGAGAAGTTTTTGGTTTAGGTATTTATACAGAAGGGAAATTCCTAGCCCTGGGTTCCTTTCTGATGCCAGATAATCAAATCTTTAACTGAAGCTGCCAGTACGGAACTTGTAAGCATTTATCCAGTAAAACCTGAATCTGAAATAGCTTAGTGGTGTAGATGGTGGGCAGGGAGAGGAGGGAAGGAGATATTTTTTCTATAGCAACACCAAGGCTTCTCGAAGGGGTTTGAGAGACCACTGAAAACGTAACAGAACAAGACAAAAATGTAGTGTTCAGGTTTCTTTAAGGTGAGTTATGTAGATTTGAAGAAGCTTTTCATCAAGGTTTGAAACTAAAACTAACATTGATGTGCTTTATAAAGAGTATGAATTTCCTTGCTAATGGGAAAAGGTTTTTTACCTTAATTTTAGAATAAAACAAAACTGCTCTTTCCTTGTCCTCATTAGGAAGTGACTGTTGTATCAGCTTGGAGATGGTTCGTAATTATGTGTCATTTTGGTTTGGGGATCTGATCAGATGTGATTAATTCAATAATGCTGTTAATTTATTGATTTAGGAATTTAAGTTAGGATCATGACAAGGATACTTATTCATATCCTTGTTCTTATGAATGTAAGCAGTACATTGGGCTGTAGCAGTAAGCTTATTGTGTCTTCATTTCGCTTATTTAAGCTAAAAATCAGAAAATGTGGGGGGGTTGTAGTTTTTTAGGAGTGTGCGTTTTAAAGTGAGGAGGCAACTTAGTGAACTTAGCCTGTTCACAAAACTGAAGTGTTTGTCACTCAGAGGAGGCATTCTGCTTGGAGTTAACTTCAAACTGAATCGGAAGTTATGCTCGGTGTTTATGTTTTGTTTTCTGTCAAAGACCTTATGGTGCACAGATTCTTAAGGACACAGAAAAATATTAATCCAAAAAGAAAAAAAAGATTCCATGAAAAATAAAACAGTCTTTACCTTTTCTGCTCACACACCATTAAGAGCAAATTGTTATAGGAATGGTCTGTGTTACATAGAGGAGAGCTGTTCATCAGGATATTTGTGTGTTCTTACCAGTTGTGGTTTTCTGTGTCCCATGGCTTTAGTTGCTGTTGACTGAAGCAATTATATTTGCTAATTATCCATATAACTGAGGTACTACAAAGTGGTGGGTTTGAGCTGTTTTAATTGATTAAGATTTAAAATAAGCACCTGCTGAAACTGCTGTAGTTCAGAAATCCCACTATGGGCAGCATGAGGTTCTTGAGGCCAGTACTTCACACAGTTGGACTAACTTAAAAACAAGAAATTTTGATGTGCACACAATTCTAAATGGAGAGGGATAAAATATCTCTTCCAATGTAGCTCCCTACTACACAACAAGCTGTCAGGTAGCTTGGGAGTGAGGATACAAACAAGTTGTGGCAGGCCTGGCTCACCCAAGCCTTAACACAGTTATCAAATGTGTTTTAAAAAGTCTCTGTGTCTGTACTTCCATAGGAGCTGGCTATGAGTCAGGCTCACTAAGGAATGCAGTTTTTATGCTGACACTTTTTATATAAACATTGGTTTCAGAGTAATGGGTGTTAATGCTAAATATCTCATGCATTGTTCTGATAATGACATCAGAAAAAAAACATGCTCCGAATGTGTGTGTCTAGCCAGAGGGAGCTGTGAAATTCCTGTCTGTCAGAAGCATATTATTAAAAAAAAAACCTCTCAATTCCAGGTATGAATATCTGGGCTAGCCAAATTTATGCATCTCTCTTCACCTAATAGGAGAAATTTTAAGACTATGACTACACAGTGTGAATCAGATGCAGTCTGTTTGTCTTGCAATGAGAAAAATTCAAACCTCTCATGGAGTCATTTCACTGTCTGTAAGCTTCGATGTGCCACTGTGTCAGTATCCATAAATCTCTCCCTTTCTGTGTTAGGGCAGGGCTTCCCTCCTCCTTCCCCCTGCCACATATGAATAAAAAGTATATGTAAAATTTCTAATTGGTCTTCTGAAATCAGATTTTGTGTTTGAATGAAGAGCTACATTTATTAAAATGTTTTAAAGTCTCTAAATTAATTGATTGGGATGAAGACTGCTGTCCAGTGACAATGGGCCTTCCAGTGTGATAATGGACAGAAAAATATTATTAATTATCCTAAGGCAAACCCGACAATCCAAGTTCTCAGCAAGGTCAGTTACCTGTTTTTAATGACCAGCTTTGTGGAACACTGCAATGATGTTCTGTTTAATTGAAGGAGTAATACAATCCAAATCAACTTCACTTTTTTCCTGGCTCCATCAAAATTCAACTTAGCAATCCATAGACAGGTAACAAGGCAGATTATTCAGATTTTTGCAGGAAAAGAAAGAAATTTATAATAGAGCAATTAAGAAAATTTAAAAGCTATGTTTGAAAATAAATGCACAGATAGAGGTACATTTTTGCTTTTCCCTATGGAAGGCATTTGGGAAAGTCTTGACTTCCATGACTGAATTGTCAACTATTTGAGGAAAAGTGTGTTGTAATACATTGAACTTTTGCATTCTGTGCTCAGCATCATAGTATAGAATCCTATGTTAAAAGCATCTAAGTCTGATTTTTATCTCAAATTCCTGTGTTCTTTGCTCCATAGTCCTAAGGGAACTGAGCTCAGCAGTAGTAATAAAACGGTTATAATGGAATTATGCAAATTTAGGAGAGTTTTAAAAATTTTGTTAAAATTCGTAATTTTTAATTTTACAATTTTGAGAAGCACTGCTCTGCAGTGCAATAATAAACTTGGTTTTGTGTCACAAAAATTAGTGTTTGGTTAGTACTAATGCATTTATTACATCATAAGAGCAACTCTCCTATCCTTAACAATCTAGAACTTTGGAAGAACTCCAGACCTTCTAAATGTTCTCTGAGCCATGTTGGGTCACGGTTAGACTCATAAACTGCTCTGTTTCTTTTGCAACTCCTGTTGAAAGGTTCTCAAGGCCTTTCTTTTGCACAGGGAAAGTTTTAGCACTTGTGAATACACTTATTTGCTCTGTCTAACCAACGATGGAGAGCCTAATTCCTGTGTCTCTTGATCCACTTTTACATTGGTGTAAGTCATCTTATTTTAAAATGAGGTATTTTTTGCAATACAAATGAGAATGCAGAATCTGCATGAACTCGTAAGCCACTAGTCATAAAGCAGCAGTAATGGCAAGCAGAGACCTTTAGTCGGCAGGTACAATGTCACAAACATCAGCTGGAGAATTCACTAGTTTTCTTTAATCAGTGGCTTTTTACGATGACTTCCTGCATGAAAGAAGGTTTGATACAGTCTTTGAGAGCATTCAAGGATTCATGTAGATCTATGTAAATGAGCCTAAAATGACCAGAACAGATATTGAAAAATTAGGCTGGCAGTGTTTTATCAGTATTCTTATGTTTTACCAACCTTGGTTTCTCTGGGTTTTTTTTCCACTCCCTCTCCCCTTCCCTTTTTCTGTACAACAGGGATTTGGGAAACAAGTGGATGTGTCATATATTGCCAAACATTACAACATGAGCAAAAGCAAAGTTGACAACCAGTTCTACAGTGTGGAAGTAGGTGACTCGACCTTCACAGTTCTCAAACGTTACCAGAACTTGAAACCCATTGGCTCTGGGGCTCAGGGAATAGTTTGGTAAGTATCAGCAGTTTCCCTTATGCTTTTAAATAGATTTGTGTTTGCATTTCTTTACAGTTTGTTGTGTCTAAAATTGCAAAAATAACAGTCAGACAACACATCTGGAGGCTGAAGGAGCCCACTCATTTGCTAATAAATTCTCCAGCTGGTGAGAATGGTAGCACTAGGTTTGTTTCTCCACATCGCAAAATGTAACTAGCAAGAGAGCAGGAGATCTCATCATAATTGACAACTGTGGCACTATTTCCAGAGGCAGTGCAGATAATAATGCCAGGTAAACCTAGTAATTTTAGTTTTTCTACAGTAAAAATGACTGAGAGCAATATAGAAACTTGTCACATCCCGTAGCATTCTCAAGTATTCAGAGTGGAAGCTTTTTGAATTGAGGTAACTGCTAAGGTTTCCTTTATTTCTTAAAAGTGATTTTTCAGTGATACGAATAATGGGAACAAAAGACACAAATTCAATAGCTCTCCTAAATAATGCAAAAGGCTTATGGAATTTGAAATTAGTATGTTCAAAAGTTGTTATATCCTGGTTGGTTATTATATCTTTATTTTTAGACAGGGCTTTTAAACTTCTGTGGCTTGTGTTTAAATGTCTTTGTGCAGGTATTTGTTAGCTGTTTAATTATGAGGCATTAGGGTAACTAAAACAATCTATCTATAACTTCGTCAGAGATGAAGTCTTAATTCCGTCTGTCATCTCCATCACTGCTCTTTTCTGGCTTTGATATACCATGTGTTACCTTACAGGTGGAGGCAGTGGTAAAGCAATAGGTATCTTTAAACTAGTGGCAAATGGACTTCCATGGATCATTGGCATTGGCACTGTAATTGG